CCTACATGTGCATGCCCTTCTACAGGGTGTATTGGTGTGTACTGCTGCTATCATAAGTGGTTACAGGTGCTGATTTTAATGCTCTTCCATCTGCTCCAGTGTGATAACTGCGGAATTGAACCTATCCAGGGAGTTCGGTGGCACTGCCAAGACTGCCCTCCAGAAATGTCCTTGGATTTCTGTGATTCTTGTTCTGACTGGTAAGTAGCATATGCTTCTACATCTTATTTGTAATTCGCCTTTATATCTCTGTGTGGCTTAATTGCTGTGTATGTTGGAAATCCAGCATAGCACACATCTCCTACCACGGGTGGAGTGGAAGACACTTTCATATATATTTATGGAGATGTATTCTGTAAGCATGTTCTGGATAAATAGTTTTTATTTTCTTAATAGAGTAAACAGACAGGTTTGGTACTGTTAAATAATGGGGGAAATCAGACTTTGTAAATCATATCAAATTTTGCATGAATCTGTTAATACGATCATTGCTTACAGATAAGGAAAATATTTGACTTTTAAACTGTTATCTTTTTCTTTCCCTTGCAGTCTGCATGAAACAGAGATTCATAAGGAAGACCATCAGTTAGAACCTATTTACAGAGCAGAGACATTTTTAGACAGAGACTACTGCATGTCCCAGGGCACCAGTTACAATTATCTTGACCCAAACTACTTTCCAGCAAATAGATGACATGGGAAGCAGAACTACCATCTTGGGCTTACTATTCTCTTTGAAAAATAACAATGGCACCATTGTTAATTCTGTGCACATTTTGGAAAGAGTCTGCTTTCCCTGAAATGTCACTCACAGCATGACAGCTTCCTGGGTGTACTTATCAAACTACAGCTTTGAGCTGTCATGGTTCTAGATCACTGAACAGCAGCTGAACATTCCTAGTGTGCAGAAGGTTTCACTGGGAGACTTTCTTTCACCACATTAGTCATTTTTAGGTGGTGAATCTAAACACAAAAGAAAAACATACAAAAGGGTGAGCCAGAAATGAGAGCACACATTAAAGACAGAGTAAATTCCAAAGGCTTTGAAGAACTTGGTTATAACGAGATCCAGAGGAGATGAAGTATTTATATAAAAACAGTTTAGTAGCTTGCAGTTTTGTTGTGAAATAGTTTTCAGCACAGTAACTGACTTCTTTAGGCAAGGTTTTAACCAATGACAGTGTTTGCTTCTAGGATGTACTCTAAAAAATACTCACTGTCTCAGCGATGGTTGGTTACAGGCCTTTATTAAATCGGAGCTGCTTAATCACATTGACTTTCAGTTTTTTTTAATTATTTTTTTTAAAACCACAATGAACTCTATTTACCAACAGTGAAGCACTACAGGGAGCAACTGTGGCATTGCTTCCTTAACCAGCTCATGGTGTGTGAATGTTATAAAATTGTCACTCAGATATATTTTTTAAATGTAATGTTATATAAGATGATCATGTGATGTGTACAAAATATGGTGAAAAGTGCCAGTGGTAGTAACTGTGTAAAGTCTCTAATACTCAACATTAACTCCTTTAAAATAAAATACACAGCCTTCTGCCTCTGTATTTGGAGTTGTTAGTGCAACTCATCAAAGAAAACTGCCTAATATAAATCATATATATGGTAATAATTTTTCCTCTTTTGTAGTCTGCACAAGATCCATGAAAGATTGTATTTTTATTACTATTTAAACAGTGATTAAATTTAGCCTGAGCAGTGAGCAAGGGTTCACATGCGTTCTTTTATACTGCTGGATTTTGTTGTGCATCATTTAAAACATTTTGTATGTTTCTTCTTATCTGTGTATACAGTATGTTCTTAAATAATGTTCAATTGTCAGGAGAACTGTGAGAAATAAACTATGTGGATACAGTCTGTTTATATATAGAACGCTTGCTGTGACTTCCTTTCTGTGTAGTTCTGACTTTTTCATCAAGAAGGAAAACATTAAAAGGACATTTTAATACATCATACAAATACTCACTGTGCAGACCTGCAAGTTGCCCAGCACCTTCCTCTGCTGTTCATTTCAATGGGAACTGATGGTGCTCTGCACCTGCTAAAAACAGGATTAGCACTTTAGTTCTCTCCTATCTTACTCACAGACTGTTCTTTTTCAGGTTGCAGAAACTTCAGATTCTGGTAGCCTCGGTACACTGTATATACCTTTGTCTGAGAAGCTTTGTAATTATTGTGACATATTTTAGTTAATATATTTTTTATTGAAATGTATAGCTCGTGATTCAGAAGCACTTGATTATTTTATAACTGTAATAGACTTCCAGTTGCTTTGAAACTTGAATACTCAGAGTAATTAGCTAGGAAAGAAAGTAATTTGACTTAAAAAGATGGCAATAAGAAGCATAATTGGCTGGCTGCGCCTAATAACTTTAATTACGAAGTGATAATAGTAAGTTTTACAATAAATTTAGGTGTAGTTATTTTTTAAAAAAAAAAAATGAGCCTTTACTCTTATTGAGAAAGTGATACAGTGCAGTTGCTAAAACACTGAGCAAATATAATCATTAAGCAACTAGTATATCAAGTATACTTAGATAAAATTTAATAAACCTTAAAAAATACACACAAAAATTCACATGATGTATTTTAGCTTTCCATTGGAAAAGATGCTACTCTGAGAGACTAAGACAATAAAATGTGCTTTCCATGTCATTTATGCTGTTTATAGGAAGCCAGAGTTGGTGAAGGTGTATTATAAGAGAGAGAATCTGTGGTAATCTTTGTTTTGTGTTGATAACCTGAACAAAATTACTGGAATAAAATAACGAAAGCAAAATAGTGAAGATACGATTAAGTGCAAATATTCCATTCATCAGTATCATAGCTTGGGAAGAACAAAAAGCCATGGTATAACTTGAATGAGATGGGAAGCAGCAGGAGAATTTCAGGTCTGAATCACCCAAGAAAGAGTCTTGGATAAGTCCTCTTTTTATTGAATATGTATAAATATTTATATTTCCATATGCATGCATATACAGCTATTTCTCTTCCATACATTGTGAACATATGCAAATAGATATTCAATGCACATACACCCAGTCAAGCATGGGATTTTTTTTGTTTTGTTCCACAGAAAAGACCAGAAGAAGCAGGAAGAAATATTAAACTGAAACTGTATGTTAAATAATTTTTGTGATTTGATTTTTAAGAAAAAAAGAGCAGCTGATCGTTGCCTTTGTTCCCATCCTGCACAAATATGATACCCCACACTTTTACCTTATATTGTAATTAGAAGCAATAAAAAATACTACAGAAAACCTACCTAGATGAATTTGCAACTTCATGGTAATTCCAGAACATCTTACATTTTTTTGGAAAAACACCACACCAGACAGCTGCTGGTGCTTCAAGGCTTGGTTTGGAAAAACCTGCCTTCTGTAGCTAATGCATTATGAAAGTCCCTCGTTTAGAGCTGTTGTACTGCAGATGTTCCTGGTCACTTAATGTCACTGGTCTGGAGCTGGAGAAGCACTTCTAGAGCATCAGAGTTAAAATATAGGCTATAAAAGGACGCAGGAAAGAAGGAATCCAGAATATGAAGGATACGAACGTATCTAAAACAGTCCCTTAAAAATAATTGAATTAGCATTTACAGGGCAAATGCCAAGGAAGAAAAGGAAAACAGAAGACTGCCCTGAATGGAGAAAGGACATACTCTGTAAGCATGCTGATTTGAGCTATATTTTCAAGTCATGTACCGTGCTTTAAAAAGGATTAAAGCCACATATATTGTAACAGAAATCATTACTCCTCATTTTTGTACATGTTTTATTTGTATTATGTCTTCATTACAAGAAAGGTAACTTTAAAAATACAAATCTGCCGCATAAAGAACAACTTCAACAGTAAGAGCAATCATGCAACCCACTTCAGCTATGAATTCTTCCAGTAGTTCCAGTAAGAGGATGCAGTTACTTTACAGGACTTTCAACATGCTTTTATTTAGCTATCAGAATACCAGAGAAACTCCACAATATTTTGGTTAACCTAATGGAAATACGATTTTTACAGACTTCTTTTCAGACACTGCAGATAAATGGCTTCCTAAAGATGCAAGCAGTATGAATCAGTTTTCCTGTTTTTTTTTTCCTCCCCCCAAAGTTTCAGCAATGCCAGTCCAACACAACAAATGATGATCTGACTTTTGCATTTGAAATTCTTCTAGAGTATTATTTAAAGACAGTTTTTACATTCTGGCTCATAGTCAGCTTTATATGTGGACTTTAATTAATGTAGGAAAACTGCCGTTAATGGGGATAATGACTGGATTGCACATTCAGCTGTACAATACCATCATTATTTTCACCTCAGCTCACAAAACTGGGAAGTCATTCATAATATCCTACAATTTGCAGCAGAGGGCAAGTCTGTCCCAAAAATGATGTCTGCTGCATGATAATGGATTGACAGACTTCCACGATAGTGGAATTTTTTTCCTTGTAATAGCATTTTGGGAACATATGAAAAGTTCCACTTGTAGCTTGACTGATTTCAGCTGTCTTACAGCTGCATGTAACACAAAACGGATTCTAGTCATTAAAACCCAGGAACAACCTAAGTGATACCACAAAAATGAATACTGTTAATTAAAAAAATAACCCATGGGAAGCTGGTAAGCAGTAATCTTAACATGCTAAATGATGAATGGCATGACAGAAGAGCTCACTGCTGGCCAGGCACTGTCTGACCTCCAATCCAATGCATGAGATCATGAAACACAAACCAGAGGTGCTGTTCACCATGCTGCTTTTAACCTGCAAAGAGCAAACAACCAACAAGACAATATACAGTTCTTAGTGTAGACTTAGCACACAGACCACTTCCTATTGACTGTATTGTCAGAACAGAGAAAAAAAAACAACTAAAATAACATACTACATGCACAAAGTCCAGATACCCCTCAAGAAAGCAGTATTGCTTTGAACAGCATTTTAATCATGACTGTCAAGTGCATGTGAGGTTGGGCTATGTACACACCACTACTATTTTTCTGTTGAAAAAGAAAATTGTGCCTCCTCCTTTTTCAGAAAAGAGTCAATTGTCTTGCAGACTTCCACAAAAACATCCTCCTGTGTTCCTTCTGCATCAACCTGTGAAACAGGCAAAAAGCATTAGTTTTTATTAAGTTACAATCATCTCAGAACCCAAGCACTGGCACAAAAAAATAGTCCAATAGAAAGTAAAAGTTGTTTCGTTTGATGATACAAGCATGCTGATAGAGAGGAGCAGCATCCATAAACCAAAATTATTCAATCTGTGTTTCCACAGTTACATGAGAAGCTTCTGTAGACTCCATCATCTGGAGCAAAGCACATTCATCAAATGAGGGAGCTTAAGCTCTTTCTCCTTAGTATTTATGTTCTAAAGTAAAATTACACCTTTGATAGGCAGAACAGTTTCCAAAAATGTTTAGAAACTATTTTAACATTTAATACATTCCAAAATAAGCTGAACAGAATAATTTCTATATCATACCGTTAATGAGATGAACAGCAATGATATGTCATTTTGTTTCTTGTCATCTTAAGTGCCAAAGTATGTAATGCTGTGTCTGGCCTAAAAGCTTTCAGATGGCAATGACTTAGCAGGGTGGTGTGTTTGTGAGCTTCGTAAATTGTTCTGGTTTCACAATGACCTTTGGGCAACATGTTTTACAGTGCTTCTGTTTTGGCCAGAGGCTGTCCAGGCTGTTCAAGTTGATTTTTCATGACTGGGATTCAACAAAAAGAAGACCAATGTATTACCCTATGCTGAGGAAGAGAGAGCTCTCGAAGTTGCTGACAAGGATGCCAGACAATTGTAATTTTGAAGGAGGCATTCCT